TCAAACTCAGTCATCGGACTCAGTCGCTTAAGGTAAGACGGAGGTAGAGCAACGAATAGTTGTAGTTTTACGGAGGGGATTTAGAGTGGGCAATAATATTGCGGATTGAATAATTGCTAGGACTTTGGTTCTGGTATGGTGTGTTAGTATGTGCTGAATGTCCGGGAATGACAGCAAGTCCAAGGAGATAATATGGACTGACGCGTACATGAATGAAAACGAAATGTTGTCCAGTTGTTAACGACCGAGCTTTTGATATTGGCGGCAGTGGAGAATCCATTTGAAGCTTCTAACATTGATAATTCATAAAATACCGATGGTATTGATGGCTGTGTGCGCTGTGCGAGTGCGTACATTGCATACATATTCTTAAGCAAACCGCTCGAGCCGTATATGGTGGTCAGTACAGCTCTTTTAAGCACAGCTCTTTTAGGCGAAGGATTGCGGGAGGGACTAAAGGGCCGACCAAGCCTGTTGACAGCCCCATGCTCCGAACCTATGGCACCGATCGACATGAAACCTTTGCCATTCGATGCCGCTGGGTCGATTACGTATTCATTCAAGGATGTGGTGACCTTGGGTCAAGTCAAAGGTCACCAAAGACGTCCCTAACCACTAAACTTGGCTACGGACACCCTACGCCAAGGCTATAGGACCGATCGGCACCAGACAGTCACAAGTCGGTGCGCCATAGTTGATATACTATCACCGTGGAACATGCTGACCTTGAGTCTCGTCAGAAATCATCAAAAATGGCCGAAACCACCTGAAATTAGTTTGCAGGCAACCTCATGCTCCGAGCTAGGGAGACCGATAAGCTCAAACCAATCGATGTTTATCATCAATAACCTAATCTTTCCAGAGCGTGGTGACCTTGGGTGAGGTAAAAGATCATAAAAACCGGTCAAAACCACCTGAAATCAGTTTGCCGACACTGCTCCGAGGCTGTGGGACAGATCGGGACCAAACCTTCACCAGTCGATTGTCATAGCCGATAAGCTTTTATTGACAAAACATGGGGACCTTGAGTCGGGGCGAAGTCACCACAAACGCCTAAAACCACCAAAATTGGCTGGAGGCAGCGCCATGATCCAAGCCTATGGGACTGATCGGCATGAAACGTTCACCAAGCGATATGCCGTAGTCGATATCCGATATCCCATTCTTTCCGGAACAAGGTGACTTTCAGTCATGTTGAAAGCCACTTAAAACGGCCCATACCACCAAAATTAGCTGCAGACAACACCATGCTCCTAGCCTATGGGGCTGATTAGGATGAAACCTTCACCAAGCCATGTGCCATAGTCGATATCTTATCTTTTCCGGAGCATGATGGCCTTGCGTCAGGTCAAAGTTCACTAAAAGCACTTAACCACATACATTGCCACAGACTCCGAGCCGGGGTTTTTTCCGGAGCATGGTGGCCTTGCGTCAGGTCAAAGTTCACTAAAAACACTCTAAACCACACAGATTGCCACAGACTCCGAGCCTGGGGTTGTGTGCAAACTAATTTCAACTGGTTTCGGTCGTTTTTGGTGATTTTTGACCAGTTTAACTTTATTTTTAACACAGGGATACTCTAAGTCACACAGCAATTATAATATGAGGTCAATATCAGCATGTAGCAAATAGCCAGCCCATCCCATTCAAAATATGAAGCCAACATCTCAGACTTTGTCATTAAATATGAATAAACAAACCTAAATAGATGCCTTTGCTGCAGCTGAAAAGGCAAGCAGCAAAACTGGTATGGTCATCTAAAAGTTATGTCATTTTGGAGAGGGAGCATTAGCATTACATATAGGTGAGTTTAGTTGAGATGATGTTCAACACATGGGCTACTGTTAGGCAGGTAAGTTGGTTAATTACATGGCAAGTGGCAATAGAAATTGTGCAAAAATCAGTGGCTCACAAATGCTGCTGATACAAGCAGGTTAAGACAGGATGAGGTGAAGTAAGGTCTCATTAGGTTAGGAATAGTTAGGCTACTTTTAGGGAGATATGCATTAGTATTTTGTAAGAAACAGACAAAATGTTTGTTTTCCCCGAACCCATCTTAGGAGAGCTTCATGCTTGTTGAATGTTCTTTTGCTACTTCGTCGCTGAATTTCTTTGTTTCGTGTTAAAAAGTACTGTGAAAGGGAGGTGCAAAGTGCAGCATCAGATTATTAGTGTTGCACTGTTTTTAATGCTCATTACACTGTTATGAAATTACTTTGGTTTGATGTATTCTGTTTCACTTTCATGGCCCAAGGTGTTAAGAAAGAGAACAGTTTTGTCTGGTTTATGATATTACGTCCATGCCAACCTGAAAAGTATGTCTTTGTTTGCTGAAGGATCTCTCGCTAGGCCATAAGCTCCGTCTTTTGTGAATGGAATTTTTTGCTCTCGCACAGGCTGTTTGCGACGGGATTTTTCACTCCCACCGTAGTTCAAAAGCGATTTTAGCTCACTGCTGGTGGGCGCCTTTCGCTGTGTCCCAACAAGTAAACTGTATCGAACTTTTTCAATAGCTTCACAGCAGGCGGCTAGCTCTCTCTGAACAGGTTACTCGCCCTGACAGGTGGAGGAGGGTGGGCGATGCGACCCCCCCCCCCCCCTCCCCTACGGTTTTGTGAGGATATATCATTGCGGCATATTGCGTAGTCTTGCTCAAATCTTTGGTAGCCTCTGGGGCATCCATTGTACGCGTGTGGACACCAAAAAAGTGCCCCTAGTTATTCTAGTTTCAGAGTCGTGATTTTTTACGACCATTGCAAGACGATTCAAGGCCGGGGGTGCGGCGGCGGGCAAGCGACGATCCTGCGGACCGCGCGCGGAGGGTTGACGCTGTTGCATGAATGAAATTCTATATTATAAATATAGGCTCCAAACGGATGAAACTGTATGCCATTGTGCTCACAACTAAACAAGGGGCACTCCTCTTTATGTTCCATGTCCCTTCATTACATGGTTGCGTGTATATAAACGTTCAAAGCTGATGTTTGGTTTTCAGGAAAATTTGGCTCGAATTGGTTTAGCGGAGTCAGCTAACAACAGGAGACTTCTAACTAATCACGAGATCTCGTCAAAGGCAGATCACTGTTTGTTTTTTGCTAGGCTTTACCTTTCGTATTTGGCAAACGTCTGGGAATCCCTCCCCTCCCTCCACCAGTCTGCGTTACCAAAACCGGCGAATAGGGGTAAGGGTTAAAATTGTTGGCACTCCTGTCATTACGCTACCACCACATGTTGGGTTGGTCCTCCTCAATGTTCATTCCTCCCCCCCCCCCCCCCCCCCCAACAGCCAACATTCCTGCCTAGAAGATTAGAAAAAGGTATGAGAAAAAAACTAACTGACATAAAACCATGTTCGCTAGACTTATGTTATTGACCACGATCCATGGGTTGCCATCTCCCCCTAATGCACAAAAAATTATTGTGCCAAGCTGGAGACATTCGTAAAAGTACCAACAGTTCTCTGGAGAAGAACTATTGAATGGAGGCATTGGTTTCCAGTGCCTTGAACAGAAGAATTCTGCAATGTTCGTTAGCATATGCCAAGTGTATTTGTGAGATTGATAACGACACCGCGCTCGGGAATGGATTGTTCGCCATTGCAGGGTACTATTGAAAACCCAACGCTTAAGAAGGGACGACGAAAGTTGGGTGCGCCCCAAAAGGCGTGACGTAACGTTTATCCATTGGCCGCCGGCTTCTTACAAGTTTTTTTCGTGTGGTTCAAGACGCAGCCAAAGGCTTCCATTGGGAGGCTCTCTTAAGCGAGTAGCGACTGAACAATATACATCCATTGGTGGCTGGCTTAAGAAACGGTTAGTGACCTTGTCAGCAAAATTATCTGTATCATCAGTGGAACAGCCGCAGTATGCACTCACTGGGAAAAGGTGCCTTTCGTGTTTAAGCGTGTACAAAGCACGAAATAAGTTCATGGCTTGTCTACCGGTACCTAATCCGAGACAAAACAAATGTAACTGCAACACGTGTCACCATATGAGTATTTTGGCCATAGACGAGCATTGTACTTCCTCGCGACCTTTAATGGGAAACGCTCTTGCAGCAACGTGTGTGTGGGAGGCGGGGGAGGATGCGCTGTAAAACGCCTGGCAGTATATGCCGATCTGTGATGCCCGGAGTAGGGTCGAGTACTGGTGTCACGTATTATCTTTGGTAGCTGCACCGACCGCTGCTGGTTAATGAACAGATACGTGCAATGTAAGCATATGTACGCAGTAAATGAAGTACTCAGCGCCGCACAACGCGGGGAGGTGCAATTATGTGCATTTTGATCATGGCTTACCTGTCATGCACATGTTCATTAACAACTGTCCTACGATCAATGTACAATTTGTTTTCTATTCAGGTAAAATTAACCCTAATGTTTCATTTTCATTCCTAAGGGATCTGTCGTGGAATGACCCTTATATAACACGATAGGTCCGTGGGAGGCGTCGTAACCTCCTATGTCACGGTCCACGTATCTGATTAACATGCTGAAGGAACAGTAAGCTGTCCGTACTTTTCTAAATATGAAGCTGAAAACATCTTCTTCGGACATATGCTGGTTGGCCTGCTTCTGCCATGGACCGAGGCTTATCACTGCCTTAGCGTGGGAAGCATAAATTGAGTTCGTGATGTCCACGGCCCGCCATAGCCCAAAGCATGGAAACACATCACACGCGCCGTGGATCGGAGCGCCCGTGTACTGTTCCCACGAAAGTTCGGGTGACCGCGCAGACCCCCCGCCCCCCCGCTCCCGGCCCCCTCGGCTGATCCATGACTGAAGAAGGCGTCGTTGACAACTGCCCTATGACGATGGCAGGGAAAATGGCCGCAGACAAGGCATTTGTGCCTCGTCCCCCCGCCCCCAGGGGGACGAAGGTTACCGTGTGCCCAGGGAGCAGCACCTCGCGGCGCGTGAGGTAGTGTGTCGTCAGCTGGCGCGAGTCGCGATTGGCTGTTGGAAGGCGCTAGATGCCGCGGGAGGCTCGCGGTGTGGGGACGTGTGAGGTGGGGTCCCGTCGAGGCGTCAGCGCTCGTACACCCTGGCACTACTCTGCAGGTCAGCCACCTGTGCCACAGGTTCCACAGAAGTGGTTCGAAAACCTCGCTCAAAAAACCAAGCTTCCGCCGATCGGAATCGCAAGGCACGGTCATCGGAACTGAGGAGTTGCCATCGGTATGGTGTTGCTGGAAAGTGTTTTTTGTAACGAATGTTCCTCGCTGTGATCATGCACTGTGCGTCGCCATGTCCTCATGCAGTGCCCACACTGCCACGTGGCGCTATCGCAACTTTGGTTGCCATCTTCAATTTAAATTGTCTTTGCATTCATCCAAAGGCGAGGACTCCGTCTGAGACGTTAAAGCAGTTCTTGCATCTCTGAATGACATTCTCACTATCATAAACTCACTGCCCTTCGTTAGCTATTGACGCCACACGACCCTGGCTGAAGGCACTAGTGTACCTGCTTTGCACTCTGCGTATCACGGCCGTCCATTTTGAAACTTCTGCTGTTTGAGTACACTTGGAAGTCTACAAAAGCGACCTGTATTGTTAAATACTATAGGTGCACTCAATAGGGTGGGTGTACAGGGAATGAGGGTGTCGAAACGCCCATAAGCTTAAATAGCAGCCTCCGTAATTTCATCCCAGCTGGTTGTTCAGTGATCACGCTGAGCGAAAACTCAATTCTTCCTGGTTCGGGGTTGTGGGGTTCATTGCCGTTTTTTCGAGCACTACGCTTCCGCACCGACTTCATGCTGTGTTATATCCGGATGGGTAACGTTCATTCGTCGCCTGATTATGTAGCTAGATTTTTGGGACGGAAACTGACGTATTTGTGTCATGAGAAGATATCAGCGGTATCTGTATGAGGTTCAAATGAAAAAAAAATGTTACCATATCTGGGCTGTTGCGACCTCGACTGGTCCACGTTATGCTGTCTTAGTTGCACTTACTTCCGTTGCCCCCATTCGAGCACGCTGCAAGAAATAAATTTGGCGGCCTTTTCGGTTTTTTATCGTAATGTTTAGGGACAGGTAGCGCAACACTGGTTAATGAATCGTGCAATCGCGTCGGTTTGCTATTGGATAACAAGTTCGCAACTTTATTGATCTGCGGAACTTATAAAATGAAAATTAACTGGGAGTTCAGAACCTCAGATAGTCGGCCAGTTTCTAGCACGTTGATGTATTCACCTGCAGGGGACATGCCTGCCGAGTTATAATGGACTGAGTTGTAATGAACTTATTTGCGACTATTGCGAATCGTTCGAATGTAGAGCACCGGAGTTGAGTCTGTTCCGTATAGCATGAATTTAGATTGCGTTCTTTGAAGATGCAATGTTATGGATAGAGATGTGAAGTCATAGCCAGGGAATTGTGTGTTGTGTGCTGTATTATTTCTCCTCTTAAGTCAGAAAGGGTTAAATGCATCTAGAAAAGGCCCTCAACTCCTGGTTTTTGGGCGTTGTGATGATTTGGGGCTTGGGTTTGGCTTTTGATTGTGTTGAATGCATAAAGCGCTGTATTGGTAAAGTCCACGGAAAGTTCTGCCCAGGTTTGAAAGGACAGGATGGTCAAAGGAAAATGTCGAAGAAAAGGTTTCTGTCTCGATGCCACGTTGGCCCCATGTGGAATAACTTCACCACGTGGCCACTCGAGTTGCTCTGAAAGGTGCTCACGTTATTGATTTGTTAACCGTGTGGCTCTGCAAGGATAAAATACCCGTCGAATCATTGCGTGTGAAGAAGCGGTGGTCTGGGCCCGTCCCTTGAGCCTCTCAAAAAAGTTGTGGCCACTTAAACGGAAAAGGGATGTCAGCGTCTTGTTTTCCAACATCCTGAGTTCAGAGTTCTTATGTTAGCTTATCTACCGCGATGTACTCAAATGGGTTGTCAGAACGAAGCCATCTCAAACACTAGCTATGACAATGCTCGAGTTGTCAATGTCTGCTGGCAATTTGCTGGAACCAGTTCCGTGATGACGTTAGTGTCTGCTGCCTTTTAGGGGCGGGGGGGGGACAAGGAGCAGAAGCATACCGGTGGCGATATTCCGTCTTTGTGTGGTTGATTCGTAGCTTTGAGATATGTGTGGTCGTCGCGTTTTTGAGGCCGGAAGGTTGCTGTCAAGCACGCAGGCCTTGTCCCTTTTACAAAGGCGTGGAAATTTTGGTATGTGGTAGGTGGTTTTAAATCTACAGATCACTCGCCGTGTTAGTCGCGTGGAATTATCATGCCTGACGCAGATTTCATCAAATTTCGCACTTCGTGTTAGGCCTTTTGGATGTATGAAATAGCTATCCAGGAAAGGGCAGCCGAATCAATGCGGAAATGGGCTGGCCGATATATCATCTTGCGATCATCACCATGTTATCATTATATCAGTCCACCTCGCCACGGGTGGGTTGGGCGGTAGTCAGGCGCTCTAAATTTGAGGTACGGGGCGGCATTGTTTTAATGTAGCGGAAATTAACCCACGGATCGTTCTTTTGCCGTCATATCTAGTGCCTATGGTTTCGTTGAACACATGTTTACAAAACGCGAATATAAGCGGGATGTTGCGTGCACTTCCTGAAGAGGACGTATGCAACGTATTCGTGGGGTTAAGTACGTGAGGATGAAATTACGTGACGTCAAAAGTTCCTAGTAGAAAAAGTACGTGATATGTAACCGTATGATTGCAAACGTAGGTCGTTAGCAATCTGTTCGTGCTTAAACTTCGCGCGTGAATGTTAGGCCAGATTATTGTCCGTTTTGCGAAAGAACGCGAGGGAACCGGGGCGTTTCGTACGACCCGAACAAGAAACTTGCTGGTGGAAGCGAATGAACCGCCCTTGCCTCTTAGGAGACAACGACTTACTTTGAATTACGCTACAAAGGTTTCACAATTTCCGGATCACCCAGCCTTTAAGTTCATCTTCTCTCAGACGTTAATCCGTTCTTTCTTGAGGGGGCGGCCCACGTCAGCGCGGCGGATGTGCCTGCGCATCCGGGACTGGCTGGACGAGGCGGATATTACGCTGGATGACATTGCCCCGCACACTCCTCGGGACCCAGCTCCGTGGAGAGTCTGAAGTATGATTTGGAACTTACAAGTCAGCATCATAAAAATGGCACTTCACCACGAGGGTTCCTCAGCTATTCGTTGGAACGGATCTCATAATACGCGAACTCATTACACATATTTACTGATGGGTCCAAGGGCTCAACAGGAACGGGTTGCGCATTGGTTTGCGGTGACCATATCGTAGGTCTATGCCTCCCGCAGCACATGTCAGTTTTTTCCTCAGAACTGTTTGCTATTTTAGCAGCGCTTCAGTACGTTTCTTGTCGTCCTGAAAGGGATGTAGTCATATTGACCGGCTCACTTAGTGCACTTTTATCATCAGACCCGACGGCTATGTCGCGTGACCACTCATTTTTGACGCGCTCAATTTGGGGGGAGCTGGAATGACTGGACACCACTTCCTGCAATATCACAATTATGTGGATCCGCAGCCACATAGGGATAATGGGAAATGGGGAAGCAGACGCCGCAGCGCGAGCTGCGGCGTGTGAGAGAAAACCAATACCAATTTATGTACCCGCTCGAGATCTGAAGTCAGTCATTTCCAAATACGCCCGCAATACGTGGCAGCACAGATTCGACCAACATCTTCACGCTTTCAGGGGAATCAAGCCCCAGCTGGATGATTGGAAATCCTCCCATCGCCGAAGCCGCTTCCAGGAAGTCGCCCTTCGGTTGGGTCCTACATATGCAACACACTCGTTTTACTTGACGCGTATGGATGTGCCACGCTGTGATAGATTCGGGGACCGGTTGCCTGTAGAACATGTCCTCGTCTCATGCCGGCGCCTTGAGACGGAGAGGCGACGATTTTTTCCTCCAGCGCCCCTTCATCGGTTACTCGGTCGAGATCCATGTGGTTAACTTGGATATATGTATTCACATTTTTAGCACACAGTGACCTTGACATTATTTTCACTAATCCCTCAGTGTAGGTGCGCCAGTGATACTACTTGTTATTAGTTGACAAAATGCTTGTCGCGTCGTCGCAGAGGTAGATAACCGTCATCGAGTGGGCGCAAAATGGCCCCCGACGCCGACGCGCCCTTAAAAACCAATTCACCACCACATGGTTAATGTTTGTTTTAAAAAATCAAGGCTGCGTATTTCGAAATCCGATAAAAATACACAAAATTCATTCGAAAATGCTAGATAGGAATGCAGGAATGTACGGAGCGCAAGTTGTTTATATTTTCAGCGCTTCAGTGTAGTGCACACTTCCGACGCGTTGCGTACACCTTGTCGTCGTGCGGTCTTCATCCCTGGTAACCACTTTGTTCAAATATTGTGAAATCGTGTCATGAACTGTAAAAAGTACCTTTCCTTACGTAGGCTTTGGTGCTTGGGTAACGTTTTCGCCCGAACAGCATTTTAAAATAATGCTTGCGCCCTTTTTAGCCAAGTTGCGCGTACGAACCTTATCGTTACGAATTTCGTCCTCATGAACATTTTACCATGCGACGTTGATCCATGCGTGCTTCTGTCATCTCAAAGATTTTCCATTACGAGCTTAACGTACATGCTTTATCTAGAGGAACATGAAATACGTGAACCTCACCCGGCGAAATACTGTGCGTTTTTTATACGTACCGCGGTCTGCAAATCCTCCATGCACGACCCGATTCTGGCATACGCCACCGTCGCTATGGTAGGTGGCGCCATGTGACTGATGGAGGTGGAATGTAAGCTGCTGGCAGCCAAGCCGCCCGTCGTTTTGTACGTTTACTCGTGCTTAATGTGTATTTAATTGGTTTGCTCGGGGCACATCTGTTTGTTATGTTCTGTGAACAAAATGGAACACACGCGGCTCAAAAGAGTGGCGTACAATCCTGACGTAGGGAGTAACTTCTTAACCGTGTACTTCGAATCCGGTTGCATACATTAAGGGGTAACTTCTCGCTTCAACCCCCAAAACACTCTCCTTTTTTCGGTGACATCTGAAGTAAGGAGTTCCTTCGTTTTGCACGAAGCATCCAGCTGGCTGCATAAACTCTTTTGATGTGACCATGGAGTGGACATTCACTACGGAACTGGGGGAAATGCGCTTGGTCGATGCTCTTTTCCGTCTTCAAGACAGCACCGGTGATCATACGGGAGCCGACGCGTGGCCATGCAAAAGTCCCGGAATAGAACATTTAGACTGAAAATCAACCTGCGGTGAGACATTGCTGCGCGATTGAGCGATGCAGCATATCAAGGTTGGACGTTTACGGATATGTGAGAAAAACGTTACAACTGTAATTTGTATTGCAACTTGGTAATTATCACACAATATGTCAAGAACTGGTGGATGAAGCTGGTGGGCCGGTTCAAATCTAACCTCCTTCCTACATGTCGCGATTTCATAGTCGTTTTTTTTTGCTTGCCATAGATGAGTTCGCGAAATGGATTGTCTCGAGTAGGGATAAAATCAGCTTGATAGGGAAACTTTTTTCGTTGAGGTGCATAATGCCCCCAACGCGCAATACAGCAGAGCACAGTGCCGGACCACACGAACCAAACACACAGGCAGACGCTTCGAACCCAAACACTTCTCAGTGTCCTGTGAGAAGTGGAAGGAAAGGAAGTTACAGCGGACATCCAATAATCATCGGCCTTACCAGGCGAGGATTTATTGGATGTCTGCATTTCAGCGAATTAGAAAAACGATGATGATAATAAGTATATAATTAGTCAACACATTGATTTCCCCAACTTTCTACGGAGGTTAATCCATGAGTGCCCATACCTCTTTATGCCACCCTTGCGATATATCCAAATTTATTATAGGCATTCAAACGTGTCGGGTCCAAAGCGACATCATCTGCTATGGGAACGTCCCGCCTTGTATCGTCATTAAGTAACTCTCAGCCTCAGCGTTTTTACGAATGACTTCGGAAGGGTGCTGCCCGGCCTATAAAACCGCGGTAGAAAAGTAGGGAGTTACGCCGAAGTTGCTTCACCAGCCAGAAATAAACTGTAAATTGTCGTTGAAGTTGGTCAAATAAGGTAGTCGGTGATTTTTATGGACTGCAATAACGTAGTAGTAATTTCTAGGCCACATGCAATATCACACGTTGCCGGAACACTAAGCTGATAGCCAGTGGTATGTGGACGGCCGTTGTGGTATGAAATTAATTGTGATATGCTTGACATGTGACTAATATATTGATTTGTGTGGTTTACTGATAGGTGTTTTTTTGACAAACTAGCTCAGATTTTCCGGAGAGTACTCTTAAATTTTCGATCGGGTGCGTTAAATTCTGATATCACTTACATGATTGCAGTGGAGGACTGATGGGTGAACGACGATCGAAAGAAGAGCAGGGACGTGAAGTTGCTACTTTTGCTTGCAGTCTGTACCCAATCTGACGGTGGCAAAGGCCGAAATTCGTGTCTTCAACTCTGCTGGCTTTGCTCATCTTCAGATCTACAGGACTTCAACAGCAAACAGGTCAGTGCGGATAGGAATTAAGTAAATGCTTTGCTGTTAGTGCACATCGCCAGTTTTTTTTTTTTTTTGCTGGATTCGCGCGGACGCTGCACAGGGATACACGTTGTTCTGGCAGCCTGTGCGACTGCAAACACGTATCTACAAACAAAAGTCACGTAAGTTACCTCGGAGTTGTTTAAACACTACGTAAGTTCAACTGTCCCCATTAACACTTGATTACACCTATACATGAGGCATCATAATATGTAGTATAAACAAAACTTAAAAGGTGTGACCTATGGTCTGAACAAAAGCGGAAGTACAAGACAAAAAAAAACTAAGCAGAGAAAACTTGCTAGCGTTCGGGTAGTCCCGGTTATGTGCACATATGTAGCTTCGTTGTCTCTACAAAGTGTAAACGCGTTTTTGGCTCCAATATATTTTGACCATGGTGACTGACAACTCGGGCCGTTTAAAACACGCGCTCGGTACGGGGTGGGATGGGTGGAGTAAGTTTGTGGCTGCCGAAGGTTTTACCAAAATTATTTCTCCGAACAGCGCGGCCTAGCCGTGCCAAACAATGCATAACTGTAGGCTATTTGAATAGTGGATCTCTTTGGTTGTACAAAATTCGAAGTACCTTCGTAAGACCGTGATCGGTGGCAGGTCAAAGTCGGGCCGGTTGCTTGTTAGGGAAGCGCTGAACTGGATGCGCCCAGCGGAAGTCTTAGAAGATGTCATGCGTATCTGACATAGTTTTCCGGCAATACATCAACTAGATTTAGAATTACAACTATGTTGACAATCGGTCAGGTATGAAAGTCAGACCGAGTAAGTTGTTTACTTCCTAGTTGCTTTTTTATGTTACTTGTAGGCCGCTGCTGGAGAGGGCGCAGCGAACGTAACTAGGATGATACATGAGATTGACAACTTAGAATAGATGGATAGACTTACGGCCTTGGATTTATATTCACTGAAATGACGTACACTGAGAGGGGTCTGATAGAGGTATTCTAAGTTAAGAAGGGGGTGGACAAGACAGATGTACAAGGTGCGCTGGAAATTTGCCTGAGACTTTGGGGAAACCAGGTTTAACTAGCAAAATGTATGAGTGGAACCTGGAGGAGGTAGATTGCCCTTCATCACAGAATACTGAACGTTAGAATGGACTGCCAAACTGAGTTGTGTGATGTCCGTGTCAGCAGCATTCAAAACCGTTTGGACAAGTTGTATCGGCCTAAGGGCCCCCTTTGTAGCTAAATTCAGGCAAGTCGGGCGATACGATTTGTGTCGAGCATGGATGAGGAACCTGGGTTAGGTCACCTGTATGGGCCCTTGTTACTCATTGTTGGCTTGGTGTCTTTGTCATCAACCGATTCTGACTCGAATCAGGCGCCAGGAGAGCATGAATACAACGGCGCCCACGTGGCGGCCGCCTTGGCCCCGTGCGCAGCCGAACTCAGTCTCGTAACGCCATCAGTGCCAGCGACGTTGATGCTGTTGTCGGTGCCCTGCCTCATCCTACCTCCAACGCCCCAGGGGTTGCGGTCAAAAGTACTGATTGAAATGAATTGGTGGCATTTGCTCGTAGGAAAAAGTTTTCAGGGCTTAAATTTTGTGACGTCAAAATTTTTTAGTGGTAAAAGTCGTCACGGATAACATCACAGTTGCAAATGTGGGTTGTAAGCAAGCTGTTTGTGCGTCAACTTCCGGCGTGAACGTAAGGCTAGGTTATTGTTCGTTTCACGAAAGAAGAAACGTTCATGGTTCGATCTAGTGAGGGTACCTATGCTCACGTTTTTATGTTGTTTCGCAAACTCAAAACTTAGCATAGGTACGCATTTCGAAACCTGAGTGAATACGCAAATTTCGCACAAAAATGTTTGCCAGGAATGCAGTTTGGTTGATGATAAAATGCACCGCAGACTATGTTTTGTTAGCATTTCCAGCGTGTAGTGAAGAAATTTCCAAGTGGTGCGCACACAGTACTGTCAAACGAAGTTCATCCCCGGCAAACAGTTTTGTTCAGATGTTTTGAACTTGCATCATGAACTGAGAAAACGACTCTTGCGTACGTAATTTACGAACGCCATGACACTTGGCTAACATTTGGACCCGAACAGCGTTGTATAAATGGCTTGTCACAACTTTTTCAATGAACTGTAACGCGTATGAACATCAGCGTTAAGAACTTTGTCCCCGCCAACATTTTACCATGCGCCGTTGATTCAGGCGTACTTTTGCCATCTCAGACTTTTGCCATTACGCAACCTGCGTGATTAATGTTGAGGAACACTGGGCGTGTGTACTTGATCCTGCGAAAGATTGCCATGGCTACTTCATACTTCTGCAACTACTCCGTGGAGGGCCCGATTTTCGGGTACGATGGCGGCGCCACCGTTGGTATATAGGTGGCGCTACGCGGCTGATTCCACGATGTTAGGTGGCGCGACGATAGCTATGCGTGTGTTAAAACATATTGGTCATCAGATTAATATGTGAGTTCATCGTAGTTATTTTTGGACAAGCGTGTCATGTTTTGCCGATCGCCTCGCTCTACAGTGGGGTAAGTTAAGCCCTAATGAACCACCGGATTGCAGTTGAAGACTCGCTGGTCGGTGGGCGGAGAACGAAAGATGGGCTCGGGCACGAATTTGCTCGTTTTACTTTCCGCTACCCATCTGGCGATGGCGAACGCCGAAATTTGCGCGTCCGACTGCTTTCTGTTTTTATTAGCTATAAGCCCGCAGGTCTTCCAACAGCAAATAAGTCAGTGCGAAGAGGAACAAAGTGAATGCTCTGCAATTGGTGCATATTTCCAACAAATTTTATTTTTGCATTCGCACGGACGTTGCGACGCGATGCACGTTGTGTATGCAGCGTGTGCGTCAGGGATTTTGCTAGATTTCCGTTTAAGTTCCAGCTTCTACATGCATTTTCGTAACTTCATAGTTTCGACGAAAATGAAGGAGTTTTGACTCGAAACATTTTGACATGGCGGACGCGTCACGCGTGGCAAAGTTTTGCAACGTATCACCCGATGAGAGGGTTGTCAAACAACATTACGGACAGCTTCCAGGTGTTCACAATGCAGGCGCCGCTTTTTTTTGTGTTCGTTATTCTACCAAGGGCGATAGATACGTTATCATGTGTTGAAGTGTAGAAGGAAAACAATGGTGGTTAACTTAAAAAAATGAGACCGACTGCTTGGCCCAGGTTAACAGTCAAATTCCAACATATTGTTTTTTCTCCACGCCCCGGCTATTCCTTGGCAAGGAAGAGAACATCATGCCCGATAAATACGTTACGGCTATGAATTCGAAAGCTGAAACGTTCCAAATGAAAACCAAAAGAGGCTGTGTTCGGCAGGATTTTGTTCACAGCACTCATGACTAGAATCCGTTCTGCGCTCCCAGTGCAGACACATTGATGTCGCCACCTCGTAAGGCTTTGTTAGAAAATCCCGCATGAGCACCGCGCGCCGCGTCAGATGTCGGCTCGGGATCACGTGGGGAGGTTCAGGTTCACCCTGGGAGAATGGCCTGGGTAAAGCTTTTGTATCAGATGGCTTCATTCAGAAAATGCTGTTTTTTAGCTTTGCGCCCTGCGCAATGCGTGCCAACGCTTCTGCTCGGCAGTTTGCTTGTTGTGCGAGATGTTAGGCGATCGTAGAGTCGTTTACATTTTCGCTGCATTTTGGTCAGTGTTTTGCCGGTGTATTGACTGTGACTGTGACTGCGTTGTTGAAGTTCGCCTGGGTGAAATGGGTAAGTAATTATCCTAAATGTTCCGGACACGATTTGCATGATTTTGTCGTTTGTGTTATAGATGTGGTGGAAGGATAAGATTCGGCAATCAGTATGGATTCCAGCGCGCCGATCACAAGTTAAGAAATATCGGGTGAAGAAGCCCTTGCGTGCTTCCGTCGCAGTCCGGGGTTGACAACCTAAGAATGCACGATAAACGTGCTTGCAATAGCGCACGTGGAATGCACTGGTGAGACACCTGATCTTGCCGAAAACCGTCCTGGCTAGGTTTTAAGCGGTCCCCAGACGCCTGGAAGTAACAGGAAGAAACGTATTGAACTGGATCGGCAGGAAAAAAACGTATTCAGATGGATCGCCTGCACTCTTTTCAAGCAAAGTATTGGGCCCAAGATAAAGACAATCAAGTTAAACCAGGTTTGTCACGTGGCTCATCGGGCCATATTATGTCCGGATCCCACCATCCCGTTTCCGAAGGATGGATGATGTCTGTTCGTTATAGATGTGTAGCCGCAATAATGCTCGGCAACGGGAGATGGGTGCCGGAACATCAAGTCCATGGATTGCAGAATGTCCCCAGATTTGATGTGAAACGCGCCCAATGTACATTGCGCCAATGAACTTGCAGTCACTTCTTGCAATCAAACCTGCATGCAATCCAAGAGTTTGTTGGTTGTCCCCTACCCGTCCGTGCAGTGGCGTGGATCCTGTTTTAGATGGTGGGGGGCAATCACTTTCATGGTCCTTCAAGCACATTCAAACGGGGTCCCGCTATGGCAAGAGGCATGTCACTAGCGAAATGAATAGCATGAAGGGAAGGCCAAACAATGCTTTTTCCAGTAGGATGCTTGCGCAAGCAGCGCAGTCCTGTGTCCGTACGCCCAGCCAGTTTTGTTAGGCGAGTAGGCATTGAAGTAGACGATACACGCTGAAAGAACATCGCCACGCTTCCACATCTTGACGAAAATTGCGGAAACTTAATTTCGAGGCGGTTTTTTCCTTCGTTTCTGTTGTTTGGCTTTTGACTTCTTTGACTGTCGTTACGGCAGGGAAAAGAAAACCAGAAGTGTCTAGAAGAGGCAGTATAGATGGTCATGAAGTGAAAAGGCTGCGGGCGCTACAAATATCTATAAGTTTTGAACTTTATGACAGTCGCGCTGTCGGGATTTTTCGCGGCCGTTTGCCGGGTGGTGTGTACCATTTCTACAGAATCGATCAGTCCAATTTACGCGCCATAGTTGAAAATGAGCGTTTGTG